AACACGCGTAATTCAGTGATAATGAGATTGTAATTCGTTTCTGATTCAAGGAAAATCAATTGAATGTCAATTAATTTAAAAAAAGAAAAATATTATTTAATTTTAATTCATTATTTTATTTTTGTGGACTTTAAATCTATTTTTAAAAAATACGTTCAATCATATCTAACTTTAGAGAGAATAAATTTAATATATAAATTTTGGTTTATTTTTATTTATTTTTTTTTAAGTCGACATATGTTACCATAAAAGTGGCATGTTACAACGAACGAGGAAATTCATCTTTCAACGCATAAAACAGCTGATAAGAGATGGATTTTCCCATAAGCAGAATATAAAAGGGTTAGATGGAAATTTTCCTCATGAAATACACAAATTTTATCCAAAAACATCAAGCGGAAATAACTTTAGATAATATGGACCTCAACATTGGCTTTTTGGACATCTCTCATCAAATTTTAAAACATGGATACAAAATTTATCTAAAACGAAGAGAAATAGAGAGATAGAGAGAGAGTATAAAAAAGACAAAATATTTTTCATGAATCAAATTGTTAACAGTATTAAAAAAAAAGAAAACAAATTTAATTTAAAAAAAAAAACGATATCATTAGTTTTTCTTTTTGCCTCCATGAATGAAAACATATATATATATATATATATATACTGTGTGAGAGAAAAAAAAAAAGAAGCGTAGGACTGATGGAATTTTTAATGACAACGTCTTACAAAACATAAAGAAAGTGGAAAAATGAAAATAGCAATTTCTCGTAAAGAAAAGATCTAAAGAATGAAAAAACGAGGTTGGAGGTTTCCGAAGAAAAAAAAAGACGAAGAAGACGAAAGGAGGTAGGCGTGATGCGAATCCTCCCACTGAAATGAAAGAAGAAGAAAAAAAAACCCCCAGTCCTGGAACTCAACACCTTGTCTCCAAGTTCGGAGACTCATATATATATATATACTATATATATATACAGAGAAAACTTTTTGTCTTCATTTATGCATTTAGTTCAGCTTTCACACATCATATTTTACATTTTCTCCGAGACCTTACTTTAACATAGAAAAACTGTTTTTTTTTTGTCTTATTTTGTATTTTTAGGAATATAAAACCAAAACATGATCTCTGATCTAGTTTTTTATGAGTGGGTGGACTTTTTTCTTACATTTTTCCTTTAGAAAACTAAAAAAAGAAAATGTAGGAGTTTTTAAGAGAAGGCAAAAGAATGAGATTGTTTACTTTAAGGTAAAGGAAAATGGAACTTCAAACAATTGTAAATTTCCATAAAAGCCAAAGTCACTAGAAGGAATAGGAGACAAACAAAAAATACATTAATAATTAACATCTTGCTGCATTTTACATTTACTAATTAAATCATTCTATTGTTTTACATTTTTTTTTTATTTACAAAAAAAAATATTAAAATTTAATTTTAAATTATTAATGGCCAAACAAAAATTGTAATAAATTTAAAATAAAAAAAAAAATTGAATTGAAATATGAATCGTGTCAACAAGATTCACATTTTTTTTCTCTCTCTCTCTCCCATGTTACCTTCTTACATCTCCAGTGAGAGATGTTGTTTTTGCCCATGATATCATTCACTATAAACATTCGCATGGCAGTAAGTACGTTTGTTGGTTCTATTTTGAAGCAAGTTTTTATTCATTTCCACAGCACAACTGGGAATAAACCTCTTTACTATATATATATATATATACAAGCACGCTCAATTTCCGAGACCAATTCAAATCCCTGACATAACCATAAAATTCTCTATAGAACAAATGCTGTTAATGTTTTTTCTTTTGCCAATAGAAATTAATTACGAATGCCATTATAGAACTTGGCAATTTCTATATTCATTTAATGCAGAAATTACACATTAGTTAAATAATTTTAATATTTCAGTATATATTATGAATTTTAATTTTTTTTGAAAATGTCAATATAAAAAATTATCAACATAGAAATCTACCTTGCCGACTGGTAGTAATTGCCAACTGATGGAAAAACGGTTTTTGAAAAATGAATATATAAAAAAAATACCGACATAGAAATCTACCTTACCGACTGATGGTAAAGAATTTTTTTTTGAAAATGGCAATATAAAAAATTATCAACATAGAAATCTACCTTGCCGACTGGTAGTAATTGCCAACTGATGGAAAAACGGTTTTTGAAAAATGAATATATAAAAAAATACCGACATAGAAATCTACCTTACCGACTGATGGTAAAGAATTTTTTTTTTGAAAATGGCAATATAAAAAATTATCAACATAGAAATCTACCTTGCCGACTGGTAGTAATTGCCAACTGATGGTAAAACAGTTTTTCGAAAAATTAAAAAATTACCAACATAGAAATTTAATCTAAATCGCATTTGACCAATATCTGATTTAATATAAAACTCACTTTTTCCTAAATCTCATTTAACTTTAAAACTCATTCAATCTAATTCTCATTTAACTTAAATTTCACTTTACATAATTCTCATTTATCATACAGATGTTTTGAAATGGTTTTCTGAACATTTTTTATATTGAATAAAAATTTAACAACTGCCAACTAATTAATTAAGTTTAAATAAAAGGCATAATTTATTTTAAATTTTATTCAAGTACGTTTTTTGTTCTTCTTTGCGTAACAATTGAAAAATCAATTAGCATTTTGGTATTGCAAAAAAAAAGAAGAAAAAAATATTTATTCCATTCATAAAAATGCAAAAAAAAGTTTTTCGTAAACTCGGTCAAACTCGAGGAATAATTTATGAATATAACGATATCAATAGCATTTTAATAAGACCAATTCCTATTGTTAGATAACAATTTTTTCTCTTTATCTTATTAAAAAAAAAAAAAAATGTAATAATTTTTTTTGTCTCCTCTAACCCTGAAAATTCATCATGAAAATTGTTTTCCTCTCGCGTGAAACTAAAATTTAATTAATAAGGATAATTAAAATTTCAAAACTCATGTGTAAAATTGAAACATTTTTTAGACATACAAAATGAGAATAAAACAATTAAGAACATTTTTTTTTTTTTTTTTTTTTTTTTCAATTAAATTTAATTTTTAACGTTGAAAAGCATTTTAAATCAATTAAATTTTTGGTTAGGAAAATAATAATTTTTTTTAAAAATGAAGAAAATATAGAATGAAATACTCCCTTTAATTCCAGAACGCTCTGTTTTTATTCTCTCTGGAATACTCGGTCATAACGAAGGACGCGGAGCATTTTAATTATCCAGTGTTGCACTATTTCAACAGAGTATGAGTATATAAAAAAAAAATTTGTTTACTTCTTCAAAAAAAAAAAAAAAAAAAAAAAAAAGTGTATTTAATAATGATTATTTCACGTTAAGAACGTTGATCTGGTCATAAAAAATTTTTTTTATCCAACTACAAGGAATACACTTCATTTTTTTTTTTTTAAATAAAAAATTCATTATTCAAAAGCTTTTGTTTTTTCTCATCAAAAGAAATTTTATATATAACTATTTTTTAATAGAGAAAAAATGTTTTTTTATTGTTTTTTAATAATTTGAATATATTTCAAAAATTTTATATTTAAAAAAAAAATTTTTAATTTAATTTTTAATTAATTTTTAATTTTACAATATAACGGAAAGTAATAATTTAAATTAATGAATGTCAGAAAAAAATGGTCTATATCTGTTGAGAAAAAAAAATATATATATATATGTGAAATGTCATTTTTTCTGCTCATCATGAATCTAGGGGATCCTTTTATAGTGTGACAATGTCCTTTTGTAATTTTAAAACATTATTTTGAAGTGCACTGGACAAAAAATATTCATTTATTCTCATATATATATATACGAATATGGTCTCTCTAGGCTTTTAATAATTACATTACAATAATTACATTGCTGAAATTGCATAATTTCAAGATGAAAGAATTTTTTATTTTCACTTCCTCTATAAAAATGGTTAAAGTAAATTTTTCAGATTTGAAAAAATATATTTTTCGAAATTGAAAAATTATAAAAAAAATTTAAAACATTACAAGAATAAAAAAAAATGAAAAAATAAAAATACAAAATAAAAATAAATAAAAATATTACAGAATAATTTTTTTTTAAATGAAAAAAATTAAAAAGATAATTAAGATCTTTTTTGACCACAAAATCTTAGCAAGAGTATTACCATTTTAATGGCATATATCGTCTTGCTTTGGAACCTGATGTCAATTTCAACATCCATATTCACATTTTTTAGTTTCATATTTATAGGAATTATTATTTTTCATAAAAAATTCATGAGTAAAATATAAAAATTATAAAATAAAATATATTGTTAAAAATAATTATAAAAAACTTAATAGCTTAAAAAAATACAATTATCTTTTTTATTTTTACTTTTATTGCATATGATAAAAAATTATTCTATTTATAGATGCAAAGCTTTTTTTTGATTAAATCATAAATATATATATACATTTGAATATTATCTATAAACGAATATTTACACGTAATAATTCATATCGTTAGTCGAGTGAAGCGTATATAAATTCAGTATTTAACAAAGTGTTTTTAAAAAAAAATATTAATGATAATATATAGAATATTTAGATTTAATGTATGAATTTCAATCAGTATATTTCCAAATTGATAAATTTATCTTGTTAATTAAATAGTTTCATATATACAAATATTGATATAATTAGATTAAATAATTTATACAAATTTGTCATAAGTAAATAATAAATAATGATAAATATTCAATGAAATTAAAATTTTTCTAAAAATTGTCTATTTATAAAAAATATATAAAAAAAAATTTTCAAAAAATTTCTGAATGAATTTGTTATCAAAGAATAATTATAATTTCAATACAAAACACTCAGTTATTGCATATTTGAAATGCATAAAAAAAAAAAAAAAAAAAAATTTAATTATGAAAATGAATTATCAGAAAAGTATAAATCAACCATCTGTAACACTTAATCTAGAGGCTTTGGAAGCGTATTTCCTTGTTCCATTTTCACCTTTTAAACGGACAAATACGAAATGAAAAATTCAAATAAAATGAATATCTCAATATTATATTGAAATAGATTGCATATTGCTTCAAAATAATAATAATAATATTTTAATTAAAAATATTTACAATGGAAATGCGTTTTGTTTTAATTTCTACATTTTTAATACAACTTGTAAAAAGTGATAAATACTTGTCATGTTTAAAAGGGTGAGTATTTATAAAAAAAAACAAATATTTCACCAAAAATATTGAAATAAAAAAAAAATCATTTTTCAATTATTTCATTCGTTTTAAATATTTAAAAAAAATATATATATCTTCGTTTAGAATGCAAGGAATTTCAATTTCATGTGACAGTGAAGAAAAATTGAATTTAATTTTACGTTATCAAAAACAAAAGGGTTTTGATTTTATGAGAATTGTCCGCTTTCCACAAATTATTGTTGAAGTTTTAGTGAAGGCCAGTAAAGTACCTAATTTTAAAAAAGAACTCGAAACTCATCGTATTCAACATCAAGTGTTTATTAGAGATTTACAAAAAATTGTTGAAATTGAATTAAACGAACAACAAGAATTTGAACCAAAAAATGGCAATAGTCGACGTTTTAATAATACATTTTCATTTAATTATTTTCCACGTTATCAAACAGTAAGTAAATAAATTTTTTCTTTTTAAAAAAAAGGGACTATAATTTTTTTTTTTTTTAAAAGGGACTATAATTTTTTTTTTGTAGATAAAAAATTTTCTTGACTCAATAACAAAAAGAAATAGAGATGTCACTTTATTAGAACTTGGAACATCAACTGAGAAACGTGAAATGTATGGTGTAAAAATTTCATCAGGTGGAAGAAATAAACCATCAATTGTAATTGATGCTGGAATTCATGGTCGTGAATGGATTGCACCAGTTACTGCATTATTTGCTATTAATGAACTTGTTCAAGTTCATAACAAACATCTTTATAAAAATGTCGATTGGTATATTATACCATTGTTAAATCCCGATGGATACGAATTTTCTCACACTAAAGTATATAAAAAAAAAAAAGAAAATATAAAAAAATATTACTTTTATTCGTTTTTAGGGTTTCGTGGCAATATAAGTTTCGCTTTGGCGTACGTCTGTCCGCCCGTCGTACATTCGTATGGTTTCCATAGCAACAATTTCCATAGCAACTATTTCCATAGCAACCGTTACTATAGCAACCGTTACTATAGCAAGCGTGACTATAGCAACCGTTACTATAGCAACCGTTACTATAGCAACAATTTCCATAGCAACTATTTCCATAGCAACCGTTACTATAGCAACCGTTACTATAGCAAGCGTTACTATAGCAACCGTTACTATAGCAAGCGTTACTATAGCAACCGTTACTATAGCAAGCGTTACTATAGCAACCGTTACTATAGCAAGCGTTACTATAGCAACCGTTACTATAGCAAGCTTATAGCAACCGTTACTATAGCAAGCGTTATATAGCAACCGTTACTATAGCAACCGTTACTATAGCAACCGTTACTATAAAAACCGTTACTATAGCAACCGTTACTATATCAAGCGTGACTATAGCAACCGTTACTATAGCAAGCGTTACTATAGCAAGCGTTACTATAGCAAGCGTTACTATAGCAAGCGTTACTATAGCAAGCGTTACTATAGCAAGCGTTACTATAGCAAGCGTTACTATAGCAAGCGTTACTATAGCAAGCGTTACTATAGCAAGCGTTACTATAGCAAGCGTTACTATAGCAAGCGTTACTATAGCAAGCGTTACTATAGCAAGCGTTACTATAGCAAGCGTTACTATAGCAAGCGTTACTATAGCAAGCGTTACTATAGCAAGCGTTACTATAGCAAGCGTTACTATAGCAAGCGTTACTATAGCAAGCGTTACTATAGCAAGCGTTACTATAGCAAGCGTTACTATAGCAAGCGTTACTATAGCAACCGTTCCTATAGCAATCGTTACTATAGCAAGTGTTACTATAGCAAGCCTATAGCAACCGTTACTATAGCAAGCGTTACTATAGCAACCGTTACTATAGCAACCGTTACTATAGCAAGCGTTACTATAGCAAGCGTTACTATAGCAAGCGTTACTATAGCAAGCGTTACTATAGCAAGCGTTACTATAGCAAGCGTTACTATAGCAAGCCTATAGCAACCGTGACTATAGCAACCGTTATTATAGCAACCGTTACTATAGCAAGCGTTACTATAGCAACCGTTACTATAGCAACCGTTACTATAGCAACCGTTACTATAGCAACCGTTACTATAGCAAGCGTTACTATAGCAACCGTTACTATAGCAACCGTTACTATAGCAAACGTTACTATAGCAAACGTTACTATAGCAAACGTTACTATAGCAAACGTTACTATAGCAAACGTTACTATAGCAACGGTTTTTATAGCAACCGTTACCTTAGCAGGCCACGAAACCCTGCGCCATACGCTCGCCGCTTCTTTCATAATTTTTTTTTAAATATTCAAATTAATTACAGAATCGTCTTTGGAAAAAAACAAGATCAAAAACTAGAGGTTCATTGTGTCGTGGTGTTGATGGAAATAAAAATTTCGATTTTATGTGGATGGGTATATAATTTAATTTAATTTTTTTTTAACTATCATATACTATAATATTAAATTGCATTTTTTTTTTAGAAACAGGAGCTTCCAACGATCCATGTGATGCAATATACGCAGGAAGTAAATCATTTTCCGAACCCGAAACACGAAATTTTCGTAATTTCATACAAAGTGGAAATAAAAATATAAAAGTTTACATATCCTTGCATTCTTACGGAAAGGTAAAATAAAAAAAAAAATTATCAACAATTTCTCTTAGTTTATGTTTAATTTTTTTTTTTTTTTAGTTTTTTCTACATCCTTGGGGATATACGGAAAAACTACCAAAAAATGAACCAACACTTGTGAGTAAATAAAAAAAAAATAATAATAATAATACCCTGAAATTTTATTTAATTTTGAAAAAAAAATTTTCTTTGTTCCTTTTAGAGGAAAGTAGCACAAGAAGCAGCTGATGCACTGGCAGAACTTCATGGAACCCAATACATTATCGGTAGTTCCAGTACATTACTTTGTTAAGTATTTGTAATTTTATTTTAAAACAAAACTTTATGTTAAATATTGTTTCTATGTTCAATAATCAATGTTTAGGGTAACTGTGGGTATTACTGTGCTTTTTTTATATATGCTAACTTTGCAAAGCTCAATTTAACCTCAAAAATACATCAAATGTTGTTATTCCAATATTGTAGATAAAAGTTTAATTATTAAATTTTACTTAATCATTAAACTCGAGATTAGTTTGGCACTTTTTTTATTTAAAACATCCATTTAAAAAATAATGGAAAATGCGTCCCAGATAGCACGAAAACTTGCAGCAAGCTTGCGGCAAGTTCACCGCGCAAGCTTGCTGCAAGCTTGTCTGAGCTAGCGAAATGTCCCACCCAGGGCAAGCTTGCCGTAAAAACTTGCTGTAATCTTTCCAGGAAAGGTTACTGCAATCTTGCCATGAAATATTTCTACAAGATTGCTGCAAGCATACTAAGAATGATTGCGGCAAGCTTGCTGTGAAAGATTGCTGTAAGCTTGCTACGTAAGGTTGCAGGAGAATTTCAACAAGCTTCTAGAAAGGTATTTTTTAAAAATTGCAGCAAGCTTGCAGCAACCTTTCCAGAAGCTTGTTGAAATTCTCCTGCAACCTTACGTAGCAAGCTTACAGCAATCTTTCACGGCAAGCTTGCCGCAATCATTCTTAGTATGCTTGCAGCAATCTTGTAGAAATCTTTCATGGCAAGATTGCAGCAACCTTTCCTGGAAAGATTACAGCAAGCTTTTACGGCAAGCTTTCCCTGGGTGGGACATTTCGCTAGCTCAGACAAGCTTGCACGGCAAGCTTGCACGGTGAACTTGCCGCAAGCTTGCTGCAAGTTTCCGTGCTATCTGGGGTGTGTTACTGTTAAAATGTCGGTATTTGATGAAATGCACATTTTTATTGACTATTCCATTAAGTAAGATTTATATAATAAATTTTGTAATCATTTTGAAAAAAAAAATATATTTATAAATTATATACAATAATAATAATTTTTTTTGAAATGACAGTAATACCAACACGCACAGCAATACCCACAGTTAGCCTATATATTAAATTAATTTTTATTACTAGATCCGTCATCGGGAGGAAGTGATGATTGGATGATGGCAATGGGTGATGCTGAATTATCATTTTCAATAGAACTTCCTGGCAGTTCGTTTATTTCAAATTCATCAAAAATAAAACCAGTTGGTCAAGAAATTTTTGAAGCACTAAAATTTTTTGCTAAATTTGCCGAAGTAGGCATTAAGCACGGATAAAATAATAATTAATCAAAATTTGTATACAATAAAAAATTGTAGATTAACTATAGAATGAGTTGAAAGTGTGACTGAAATAATGCATTCAAATGTAATAATAAACCTTTTGAGATAAGATAAATAATATTATATCCTCCCACAGTCTGCTAACGATGTGATAAAAAAAAACACACCAAATATCTAAAATTTTATAAATGAGCTTTGTATACACCACTAACAACACAATGATGAATTTATTTGTAGTATTTTTTATTATTTCTCATTTTATATTTGTAACAACTGAATATATACCATCAACAAAGGGGTAAGTGTTTAAATAATTATTAATTAGAAATTCGAATTAACAATTTGTAAATATAATAATAGAAAAAAAATTTACACAGAATGCAATGTCTTTCGATAAAATGTGACACTGAGAAAAAACTGGCATTTGTGTTAAAATTTCAAACGGATAGAGATTTTGATTTTATATCAATTACAAGAAAACCCTATGACAATGTTGAAGTTGCAATCACAGAATCTAAAATAAATAATTTCAAAAAACAACTTGAATTTCATGATATTGAATATAATGTTTACATAGAAAATGTTGAAAAATTAATTGAAGAGGAGAAAAAAATGTTCAAAAGACGTAAAAGAAGTTTTATGAAAAACAATTTACCATATTCTTTTGATCATTTTCCACGATATACACTAGTAAGTATAAATATATGTAAAAAAAAAATATTTACAGACCCATAATTTTGTAATAACTTTAAATTTTTTACTATTGAAAATTTCAAAAATTTTTCTCTCAGATTAATCGTTATTTGGAAAAAATTATCAAAAAACATCAAGACGCTACTTTAATTGACATTGGTTCATCTTATGAAGATCGTAAAATGTTTGGTATTAAAATATCAAATAATAATGAAAATAAAAATCTATCAAAGCCTGCAATTTTAATTGATGCTGGAATTCATGCCCGCGAATGGATATCAATAACAACTGCACTTTTTATAATTCAACAATTATTAAAAGAAGACAATAAACATCTTTATAGAAATGTTGATTGGTATATAATTCCATTAATGAATCCCGATGGATATGAATTTTCCCATGATGTGGTAATTTCTTATTTAAAAATTTTTCCCACTTGAAAAGATTCCCCGGAAAGTGCTCCCCTGGAGGTTCTATCAGAATTCCGACGGAACTTCCAACGTAATTCCCTCGGAATTCCATCGGAGTTCCAAAGAATTTCCAATGGGATTCCGATGGAGTTCCAACGGAATTAGGATTCTAAAATTTTTTGAAAAAAATTAATCGGAATTCCGTCGGAACTCCGTTCGAATCCCATCGGAAATTCTTTGCAACTCCGATGGAATTCCGACGGAATTACGTTGGAAGTTCCGGCGGAATTCTGGCGGAATTCCGACGGAATTAGGACTCTAAAATTTTTGAAAAAAAAATAATTGGAATTCCGTTGGAATCCAATTGGAAATTCTTTGGAACTCCGAGGGAATTCCGACGGAATTACGTTGGAATTCCATCGGAGATCCAAAGAATTTCCAATGGGATTCCGATGGTGATCCAACGAAATTAGGACTCTAAAATTTTTGAAAAAAATTAATCGGAATTCCGTGGGAACTCCGTCGGACTCCCATCGGAAATTCTTTGGAACTCCGATGGAATTCCGACGGAATTACATTGGAAGTTCCGGCGGAATTCCGTTGGAATCCCATTGGACTCCCATCGGAAATTCTTTGGAACTCCGATGGAATTCCGACGGAATTACATTGGAAGTTCCGGCGGAATTCCGTTGGAATCCCATTGGACTCCCATCGGAAATTCTTTGGAACTCCGATGGAATTCCGACGGAATTACATTGGAAGTTCCGGCGGAATTCCATTGGAACTCCGTCGGAATCCCATCGGAAATTCTTTGGAACTCAGATGGAATTCCGACGGAATTTCGTTGGAAGTTCTGGCGGAATTACGACGGAATTAGGACTCTAAAATTTTTGGAAAAAAAATTAATCGGAATTCCGTCGGAATCCCATTGGAAATTCTTTGGAACTCCGATGGAATTCCGATGGAATTACGTTGGAAGTTCCGGCGGAATTTTGATAGAACCTTCAGGGGGCATTTTCCGGGGAATTTTTCCAAGTGGGTAAATATCGAGAAAAATATATTAATAGGATTTTTTTAAAATTATAGTATCGTTTATGGAGGAAAACACGATCTGAAATTTTTTTTTCAACATGCTTAGGTGTTGATGGAAATAGAAACTACGATTACAAGTGGAGTGGTAACTATTTTTTTTTTCCTGTCTTGAAAAAAAAAAATATAACTATATAAAAATTAAAGATGAAAATTTTTTTATAAATTCAGAAATATCGGAGAAAATTTTTGAAGATCCTTGTCTAAATACTTATTCCGGTAGGTTACCATTTTCCGAAATAGAAACAAAAAATATGCGTGACTTTGTTTTACAAATTAATGAAACAATTAAATTGTATATCGATTTACATTCTACCAGTCAACAAACTAGAAAGGTATTGTATATATATGAAAACAATAATTTATTATGAATTTTTAATAATTTCAAAATTAATTATTGAATTTTAGTTCATTGTTCTGCCTTGGGCGTATACAACAGAAAATTACAGTGATTATTCAAAATTGGTAAATAAAATATAAATTAGATACTCTATTGGAAAATTAGAAATTTAAATTAATATTAAATGATTTTTTTAGTTTGATCTAGCAGAAAAAGGTTCAAAGGCAATTTTTTCTCATCATGGAAGCAATTATACTATTGGAACTGCTAGTGAAATTTATTGTAAGTTATAAATTTTGTATGTAATAAAAGTTAATATTTTTTTCAAAAAAAAAAAAAATTTTTTTCTCTTTCAGATATTGCTAATGGCACAAGTATTGATTGGTTTTTAGGATTTGTAAAAACAAATTATTCACTTTGCATTGAATTGCCAAGTGAAGAATTTATTGTATCTGAAGATAAAATAGAAAATATTGGTGCTGAAATATTTGAAGCTATTAAAATATTTGGAAAACACATAGAAGATAATTTCGTTGAGGAATAAAATTTTTTGTAATTGATAAAAAGAACATTTTTTTAATGACATTGCGAATATAAAGTAAAATAAATATTTGTTCTAAATTACCTTCATTAAATAAATTTAAAATTAATGTATCATGAAAAAAAACCTTGATATAAGGTCACACGTACATTTTTGAATAAATTTACATACTATTTTAATGTATATATATATTTGTCATTCATTTATGATTAATATGTTCCAATAATTGCAAAATGAATTAAATATTGTGAAATAATTAATTAAACAAAAATTGCCTCTGGTAATATTGAAGTTTATTATTGAGGACAAAAATATGAGGTAAACAAAAATCATAAAGAAACATTATTTTAAAATTCAATGCGTCATTCTTTTTGAAAAAAAAAAAATTTTTGACTAATTAATTTTTCAATCGATTAACATTTAATAAAAAAAAAAGAAGAAAAAAAAAGTAAATTGGACAATATAATATAGAATTTTTCTTTATCTACACAACCCGTTGAATATTTGAAACGGAGATTACGTTTCCGCCACAGAATGTCCTGACTCGTGCATATTCAAGATTCTCCTACCGAATGTTCAGAACATTGTTATGCTAAGATCGCGAAAAGGCTTCTCTTAGCATATTTCGACAATATTTTCAGTTTTAGGTAACTGGCTTTTGGTAAAATGTCTTCTATTTTTTAATCTCATCTGCCAACCGACATTTTTTTTATCAGTTTTTTTTTTTTTTGAGAAAAATCTGCTAACCGACTATAATTGCTATAAATTTATTTTTTTTTTTATCTTTTGCAACTAATTTACAACAACTGAGTCGCGACATCACTATGGCTAAAGCTTCGTATATAATAAAGAAAAATCCCGGAAGGCGCGCGGAACCCGAAAAAAGTAGCGGACAGTGATGTATATACGAGACAAGGTCCGTGTTCTATATGCGTTTGTTGTCTTGCATTCTTGCACGCTCTGCTACTCTAATTTGTCCACTTTTTTTTTTTATTTTTTAATTTTTTCGCTCTTGTACCTCACGCTGCGGTTTCCGAACAATTCTTTTTATTTTATGACGCTTATTCAATTCTACTTACACACAAACAATTTCTTGTACCACCGTGTATAATTTCTTGCAAATTACAGAAAAATTACAAAAGATATAAAAGAAAAAAGGGTTCAATTTTTTTTTTTGCATCACCATTTCAATTAAAATCACTTATTCTGAAGTTAAAATTCATTTTTTTTGTTGTTATAAAATTTCCCCAAAAATTGGTCTTTTAATCTAATTTTAAAAAAATGAAATTTTAGTTTCTTTACGAGAGAACAAAAACATAAACGTTTCTTTCGGTTAAATGGAAATTTTATAACATAAAAAAAATCGAATTTCATTTGCGAGCCCTACGTAAGCATTAGGGTACAAATTTTTGAAAATTGGAAATAAAAAATTACCGACCTAGAAATCAACCTTATCGACTAAAGGTAAAACAGTTTTTCTGAAAAATAAAATATAAAGAATTACCGACACAGAAATCTACCTTACCGACTGACGGTAAAACAATTTTTTCGAAAATGAAAATATACAAAATTACCGACACAGTAATCTACCTAACCGATTGATGGTAAATAATTTTTTTGAAAAATTAAAATATAAAAACACAGAAAATTAAAAGGCATTAAAATAAGCTGCAACGCTTAATATTTTAATTCAATTTTGCTTATTTTAATTCATTTTGGTATTAAAATAAGCAAAATTGGATTAAAATAATAAGCGTTGCAGCTTATTTTAATACCTTGTAATTTTCTCTGAAATTAACGACACAGAAATCTACCTTACCGTCTGCTGGTAAAACAGATTTTAAAAAAATGAAAATATAAGCATTACCGACATTGAAATCTACCTTATCGACTGATGGTAAAGCAGTTTGCTGAAAAATGAAAATATAAAAATTACCGCCACAGAAATCTACCTTATCGACTGATGGTAAAGAATTTTTTTTGAAAAATGAAAATATAAAAACACAGAAAATTAAAAGACATTTAAATAAGCTGCAACGCTTAATATTTTAATTCAATTTTGCTTATTTTAATCCATTTCAGTATTAAAATAAGCAAAATTGGATTAAAATAATAAGCGTTGCAGCTTATTTTAATACCTTGTAATTTTCTCTGAAATTACCGACACAGAAATCTACCTTACCGTCTGCTGGTAAAACAGATTTTTAAAAAATGAAAATATAAGCATTACCGACATTGAAATATACCTTATCGACTGATGGTAAAGCAGTTTGTTGAAAAATGAAAATATAAAAATTACCGCCACAGAAATCTACCTTATCGACTGATGGTAAAGAATTTTTTTTGAAATGTGATTTCAAAATTGTTTTACCATCAATCGGTAAGGTAGATTTCTATGTCGGTAATTCTTTATATTTTAGTTTTCAAAAAAAACTGTTTTACCA